ATTCGTGTAGATTCGCTCCTGGCAGCAATGAATTGTACTGTTGTCATTGCAATCTGGTTTTAAAGTTCAGTGATACATCAACATACTGCCAAATCCTTGATTCTTAATGTGGAAGTCATACATACATACATACATATATAGATGTGTATATATGCACATGTATGAGTATATTTGTATGTAATGAATAGTATTTGTGGGGAAAGGCACACAGAGTTTGTATATATTCTCAGAAACCAAAAGGTATTTGATACCGTATTCTATTTGGGAGATGCTGTATTTTATTTCAACATGTGTGTAATGGGAAATGTGTGTAATGGGAAAAGCCGAAGTACAACAAAAAAACTTAGGCCGCTCTTGCTGTAATCATTCTTATTGTGGTTGTTTCTGTTACGCAGACTCAGAGGAGCGTTTCCTTGAAATCGTCAAGTCAGTTCATGGCCAGAATATTGGAACAATTGCGGAAAATATTAATGAGCATCCATGAATAGCCCCGGTGGTAACACCATATGCTATTGCTGTTTGAAAATTAAGAATAATGTGGAATTAGTCTGAAATCAAGTGTAGAAACTTTTATATATGCACTATAACAACCTCAGTCAAACACATTATGGAGAGGTTGTGTAGTTAGGAATTCCTTCTTTCTCAAAGAAAAGTAATGTTCTAACCAGGGAAGGTAGGGAATTCCTGACATCACCACACATAGATTGTCTTTCTTCATGGCATAAAGCTGTGGGGTTTTCCGTTTTTTACATGAAATGGAACAAACTCCTGTGTACCAGATTATGCATGTCTGCTATTATCTCTTAAAAAAAAAAGTTTCTGTTTTATTTTTGAATTATTGAAACATGTATTTTTTTTCCCTATAAATTGTGTCTTTATGGTAAAGATCTGAAAGTGTTTGGAGAATGCTGGCTCATGACATACCTGATACAGTGACATTTTCTTTTCCATATTTTCCACTACTGTATATGTTGTCAGTTTCTCTCAGCTAATGTAGACCTACCTGATTTAATATTCTGTATTTTAACCTGACTTTCTGTATATTTCTCCAGATAAGAAAATAGCATCTTCCCTCCAGACCATTTTTTTCTCCATATATTGCAAGCGTGACTTTGGAAAAGGGGGAAAATTCAAATTAATATATGGCAGAAAAATAATTATTTCAAGGTTAGAAATTTATTTGCTTTTCCATAGCTAGGGCCAGGTGAGGTAAAGCTTCACTCTCAGAAATATTTGCTGGGGGGATGATCACTTTTTTTAGCATTAACTTTTCATGTTCCCATGGTGCCTAGGAGCTCATACTACAAGACAGGTTAAGTAATGTCAAGAACAAAACAGAAAGGATTTTGTATTCCAGAAGTTCATAATTTGGGTGCTTTGAAGGAGTCTTTGAGTTTGAGTTAAACTATCGTTGAATTTGTATTTTTAGGTGCCATACAACCAAAAAAAGCTGTTATTACAGAAACAAAGATTAGCCTACTCTGAATATCCCTAGACTCTCTGTCTACCTGCTTGGACAGCCAAATAAGTAAGGCCAAAAATGACAGGAAAAAGATGAGTATCTGCTGCTGGATGTACTAATTGGTAACTATTTAAAACCCACTTCAGAAATTTCTCTTTTACTGCAAGAAAATACAGGATTTCCTTAGGAACAAATCTGATAAAACCCAGAATGAGATCTGAGGTAAGCTTTCTGGGATAGCATTTATGAGTCTCTTTCTTCTTTGCTTATGTAAAGTAAATCCGCATGCGTGTCTCTTTTGGCTTTTGGTGGTTTAGAGCACTTTTGTGTGGTAGCATGCTGCAAAATTGCATGCTGCAAACATAACTTCTAGAGATGTAAGAACAACTTCAGCTGATTGTTTTTCAAGCACAAACCACTATGGACAAATGATATACGTACATCTCTGAAGGAGACTGTATGCAGTAATAAGGGGGGAGGAGGGGTGTATTAAGTCTGAGAACAGGCAGCATATATATAAAGTTAAAGGAAAATGCATGCCAAAACAATCCCTGAAAGTAACAACATCAGCCATTTTAAAATGAAAGTGTTACGCATTTGAGTGTTACGGAGAAAATATTCAGCTTGATTTTATATATTTGTTTAGAGTAAGATGTTTGGGGCCATGCTATGTGGGTATATCATGAAAAATGAACAGCAGAGCAAACAGAAATGCTGCTTTTGAAGAACGTTTGGGTTTATACATGCATTTCATATCTCCTAATAGTTCTGAGAGATAATCCACAAAAATTGTTGTTGTTATTATTATTATTTTTTAAAATCTAGTTATTCATTTATTTTTCAAACGTTTCAGTCCATAACAAATATGGTTTTGAACAGCTGCTTCTTTTGCTGTCGTGCAGCTCTGTAACCAAGCAGTAGAGGGCATTCTTTCTTCAGGAGATGGTACTAGCTTCTTTAAAAGACCAGTGTTTTATTTAGCAGGTTGGTGTTCTTGGGTTCTTCTCGTCTTTAAAGGTAATCCATTCATATGTAGATACTGGATATAGGACAAAGGGATAGATCCTTACCTCAAATATGCAATAGACTCCTCAGGGTTGAGTAAATCGTTATTAAAATTGTATATATTTTTAATTATTTCATAGAGTATTTTTTGATAAATAAGAGGTTATATACGTGTTATTCAAATTCACCCTGCAGCATTTTTCATAAATTCAGATCTCTTCATGCAGTGTTAGTGTTAGTGCCAGATTAAAACCTGAGCTATTTCAGTTGGCTCTGATCAGTCCATAATTTTAACAAAAGCATCTTCAATGGTACTTAAAGCAAACTGCTCATGTTGACAGAAGCACCTGGGTAGGTATTTTGAGAGCGTGTTCACATGGCATTGTTAGGGACCGTATTAAAATTCCAACGGGTATATTTGTTTCTTACAGGATCTGACATTGCCTTAACACAGCCCTGTTTGAAATTAGATTTAGTGTGGTGTCTTCCTCTCCTGCTTGGAGAATGTTATCTTGCCTGGGGTAAGTGAGCACTGGGGGTTCGTCGTCCCCTCCCTCCTGAAGCTGGGAACTTCCCTCCTCCGTTCAATTGTCCAGTGCCTGTCCGGTCTGAGTCCCGTGTTGGGGAGCAGCAGGGGGGCTGCACCCCCAGAGCAAAAGGCAAATTGGCAGCGGCTGTGGTTTACCTTTCTGGTGCTGTTGAATGCTGCTCTCCCCTTACCAAAGACCTGACTGCATGCTGGGTACCTTGAGAATATGTTTTTAAGTGTTCTTCTGTTGCGAGGAGATTGAGATTTTTCCCTTCTTTTTAAATAGACATGAAACCGAGGTGACTAAATAACTTCTAAATCTGGATATTAGGCACAGACAGATCCTTTATAGGCATGTGTATAGATTAGGCATAGGCATAGGCAGAGCTATTATATTCCAGATTTCATTTCAGAAGATATCCCTTAGTGAGTCTAGCACCAGCTGCGTTGCTGGATTGTGCAGAATTGCAGGGGAGGTATGAAACAGCATAGACAACAAAATGCTTCTGTGTATACGTACTTCAATAACATCAGTAAAGCAAAAAGATCTGATACCAGAGATTGAAATGTTTACATTTTAAATTTGAGGCTGCATATTGCAATTGTATTTGCAATGTTGCATCTGAACACGTGAAAATAAAACTTCTTCTCATGGTGTTGGCCTGCTGATTCACATCTAGTATTTCATAATTTTTCCTTGATGATGCTTGGTCACCAACAGCGTGTAACCTCACCTTACATTAAAAAGAAATACCATGGGAGAAGTTAGAATTGAGACATGTAGGAAAAAGCCCAAAGAGACAAACAACAGTATGTGATCTGATAAACTACAACTCTACTTATGGTATATGATTTCAATTGATATCTGGTGAATTATTGTTCTAGTTTTGCACCAATTTTGCTTCAGAAACAAACCAACTGGGGTTTTTTGTTTGTTTGTTTTTGTTTATTTTGTTTGTTTGGGGTTTTTTTTTTGCGTAGAACTCCTGTCAGATCCTTCTTAGAATGAAGTTTTTGATCTCTGTTTCAGGAATTTTCTCCAATCTGGTAAATTAATTTCCATTGTTGGTATGTTTTTTATTTGTCGTGCATTGTTGTTTTGTTTTGTTTTGGGTTTTGTTTGTTTATTTTTGTTTTTAAAGATTAGAGTTTAATTGCTCTAAAATAGCAATCAGTTATGAATGAGAGAAAAAGCTTTTATTCCCTGGAAAAGGGAGAGCCCAGCAGGTAGTGCCTCTTCAGCTGGGTAATAGTTCTGGTATTATAAACCTTCAAAATAGTTACTTAAGATAATATCCACAAATAAAACTCCTCCCCATATCACTGGCCTACTGATTCACATAACATTTCCTGGCTATATTGATTTTAAATAAACAGCTTTTACTTGCATAACCTTGAAGCATTCAGGAATCTGACTCTGGAATACAACACATTATCTCTGAGGGTGACTGTCAGCAGAAGATAAGTGAATTTGGGCACACCCAGACTCTAATTATGTGTAAAATAACAAAATAATACTGAAAAGTGAATATCACAGCTGTCTGCAGCTGTGGAATTGTGAAGATGGTGTTTCAGGCAGGAACTTTTATTGTCTGTTGCATAGCTGGAATATCTTTTTTTATTTGATATGAATGTGTTCGCAATGAGAATATCAGAGAAGGGCCATCTTAGTGTTGTAATAGAATAATGGGAACAAAAGTTATTCCTAGCTGAAAAATGGCATTTGTGGTGAAGGATCACAGATTTTGAGATGAAAAAGGGCTTTCTGGTTGCTTGTGGTAAGTCTGTGTAATGTTTACTTCTTCCCCTCTGGTCCTAGCCACACACTTCTTCCCACATCTCTACACCATCTTTGAGGTTGTTGAATTCTATGCTGGACAGTGCTGGGCAGGATCTAAGCCAGTGGAAAAGTAACCTGAAAAAAAGCCCCAAACCAAAACAATTTTTTAAATTTTTTTAAGGGGAGGAAGAGTTATGCTTAGAATCGGTTCTGTGAAGAACCCAATGCGCGCTTCTGCTGCAAAGAAAGGTGATGGGAATGCAGAACAAGGAATATTGGTGAGACAAGAGAAAGCAGGATTTCTTTGTAAAGTGAAGAGTTATGAGGTGAGTTACCTGACTAATCCTCTGGAATATGGATTGGTAGGCTCCATCCTATGGCTGCTTTCCCAGGCGATGAAGTGGGAAAAGCTGGGGGAGCATGGAAAGGTCTTTAGACCAGCTACTGGATTTGGTGAGCTACAGGTGAATTGGATGAAGGAATGCAGTATTTATGGGTCTTGGCAAGTTCTGATGCCTTGTTGCTCAGCACCAGCAGCTCTGTATTTGATTGAATACAGTTTTGTAGGCAGTTCTCCCGGTGATAAGACTCCCATAGGTCCCTAGGAAGTTAAGTGATAATTTAACAGGATTTTTTAGTACTTGAATTTTTTGATTTATGCACAGATAGGAGAAGTTAGTTTTAAGATTGGTCCATGAAAGTTAGTGGACTGCAGTCAATTTGCTCAAAAACAGACAAGAAGAGAAGAAAGGTGAGGGTGAGAAGACAATGCAAGTGTCCCAGGTTCTGCATATTCTGCTTTAAACACTGGTCTGTATTCAGTTTCAGTTGTGACATACTGTATTTTCCTTTGAAGTTGGAAGTTTGAAATCTTAACCATGTATTTGGTTGCTTCACCAGTGATCTTAGCACTTTGTAGATGCAAATCTTTGCGTGGAAAATACTTAGCAGATTAACCAGGAACTGGAAAGTTCCCTGAATAGAATACTTCCAAGTCTGATGTTAATGGTGTATATAGTTGATTGGTAATGCTCTTTATATGACATAAGTAGTCCTCAGCAGAAGTGGAAAAGAAAAAAGAAAACAGATTGCATTACAATACTACAGTATATCAAGGCTGGCTGTCTTGGGACTCAGAAGGTAGCATGATCTTAAACTTTTAAAAAACATGTATTAATGCTGAAGTAATGACGCTATCTATCCTGAATGTTAACCCACAATGAAATCTCTGTCATTGCCCTAAAAAGCACTGAATTCTCTGTTTATCTGATTTTTATTTTCAGGCAAAAATGGCACTAGCAAACATTAAATATTGTGTTTAAATATTAAACATCAAAGTGCACCATGAATTTTTAATAAGCCAATTAACAAAGAAATATCTCCATTTGTTTCTGTGCAAATGTAAGGGCAGTGCAAAGGGTTCAGCAAAAAGAATGTCAGATGCGATGAAAGCAAAGCACAGCATTATAAAGCAAAACTGCAGCTTCCAGAAGGTGCATTATTAAATCCAAATAATACTTTGAAGAAAGGGAGGACCTGGGATCTTTAAAAACATCTTAATTTTGGGAAATGCTTGAAGGATATAACCTTTGAATCTTTAAAGGTTCATTAATAGGAAATGAGTGCCCTAACTTCTAAGTGACATGACTTACCTCTAACATGAAGGTGATGAATGTTACAGAAAAGCAGAACAGCAAATTGTGTAGCTCTAGCTTTTCTCAAATGGGAGTGTATTTTGATAGGGAAGTATTTCTTCAAGATGTTATTTCAGGCTCCTGTTGCTGATACTGTCAGGCAAATTTGGATGATAGTTTTTTATTGTAAGGCTATTTCCAAAATACAGACCCTTCTCCACCTGGCAAAGTACTAGGAGGTTGTGCTTCTGGAAAGCTAAGAAAGTAAATGGGAGCACATTTGTAAGTAGGACTTTCTTTCATTTGACACAATTAACATGGAAATGCCTTGCCTCTAGCTAGCTTTGAGGCTAAGATGAGCACTTGTGAAAGAGTTAGATGTTTAATAAGGAGAACATGAAGTTAATGAGTTGGGACAAAATTTGAAACAGTCTTATTTCTGGGCAAAACAATGTGTGCAGGCGGCATCATTCCAGGAATCTGTGGTTTCAGAGCTGAAGTGCTGTAGCAGATGAAGGCTAACACAAAGGCCTTAACCTGTAAGAGCAGTTCTTTCCCTCATAAACCCATAGCTCATAGAACCTGTTGAGAAAACAAGGAATTCCTGGTGTTAACTTGTTACTCTTTTTTATTTAAATTGTGAAATTGAAGTGGTAGGAATAAATTTCATGTGTTTGATTATTTGTGTCAGCAGTGCAGGTTTTCACAGCTTCCACTGAAGCACCTCTTGCTTCTCAACATCTAAGACGAAACGCAGGACTTAACATAGCCTGGGCTTCCCCATTCTTTGTATTGATTGTTTTCTGCTGCTGAGGTGGGAAAGATCACTGAATTCTCATTCAAGAGCAACTGTTGCATTCACTGTTTTTTAGCTTTCTGGAAGAATGACACTACATTTTCCCTAGTGACAAAGCATGATTGCTGTGGTTTATCAGCATTTTTCTTCCCGCTGCCTTTTGAACTTCTAAAAATCTACTGAAGTAGGCTTCATCTAATCTTGACTCTGAACTCCTCTCACTGTGTCTCAAGTAGACACGCATAACCTCCTCCTTTCCCAACACCCTTGCAAATCACCCCTCAAAAAAAAAAAAAGCGCCTTTTAGACTGTTAACTTTCTGAAGGCAATGGGACATTAAGAACATTTATCAGCATAGGAGAATGATGTTAGAGTGTTTCCCTTGGTGAACACCCTGCATGAAATAGCCCTGAGAACAAGCTGTTCTTTTTTGCTATTAAAGCACTGCTTTTCCTGGCACTTAATACCTCACTGAACTCCATTGTTAGTTTACAAGACCTTCAAAAATTGCCTTGGGTCTGCTATTTTAAAGCCATTGACTTAAGTGCAGAGCTTTGTGCTGTTCTTTTCTGCTCAAGGCAGTCAGTCTCTGCACCTTTCTCAATTCACTATTCATTATGTATGAACAGAACTTACATATATACTGGAAATCTACAGTGCTTATGATGGGATCACAACAGATGCAGAGGAGATATTTTTCATGTTTTCGTGTTGTAATTGGGTTAGCTTAAAACACACAGGAATTAGTACGGGGTCCTGTTATAAAAAATTGTGTAAAGTTTGCAGGACCTAAATAGGTGGTATTCTTTCCTCTTCTTTTTGTGTGGTGCCTATGAGCAGAAAGAGCTTTTCGTTTGTTACCTCCTTTCAGTTTCTACTATTGAAATACAGATGGAACTAAGTACATGGGAAGAAAGATGTTCTGATAGCAGAACACTCATTGTAGTTTAAATACTTTGGGCAGATCATTTCCTATTACATTGATGGTTACGGCTGGAAGACATTCTAGCAGAAATCAGTGGTATCGTTCCTGTTAGTGCCCAATTGTAAATAATTTATGAATGTCCAACATACTACTAGTGTGATGACTGAGACACAGAACTAGAACGCAAATAAATGCATTCTGTAATCAGATAAATATTCTTATTGTAGTTTCCTATCTGTCTATCAGTATCCATGAGCTGACTGTGGTTTTCTCAGATTCCTTCAGTTAAATTTACTTAAATACCTTAGGTTTTCATTTTACATAGTCATATTCTGGTTATTAATGACATAGGCTTTCTATCACGGATTATTTGCAATAGTTGCTGGGAGTCAAACTGAGGAATTGATTTTGTTCTATCAGAGGTTACTAGAAACTTTCAGCAGAGAAGTCAAAGCTAATTCATTCAAAAAGTTGAAATTAATATGCGGAACATTTTTATTTTTTTAATCCCTCCATCACAATCTCAGTCTTTCTTTTAAGCCTTGAAGCAGAATTTAACTTTCATCACTTTTGTTAATTAATCCACTGGTGGCCATGGCAGAATCCCATGAAACAGTCCGTATATCTCAAATGGCTATGATGCTGTGCACCACTAGAGTGGGAAGCTACAGAGAAGCAGCATGTCCTTCAGCTGACGAGACAATGATGCCTTCAGTCTACTAGTCCTAATTAATTCACTGAAAACATTATTTCACTGTTATCAGTTGACAAGTACCTGAAACAAATATGCTTCCCACCTGCTTTACATGGTCTTGCATCATGTATGGCATTGCTATTTCTACAGCTTCCAGAAATCTTGAGACAAAAATATGGATATGGTATGAATCATGCTGGAATACCAACATTGTTGTTTTCCTTGTATTTGAAAGGGAGGAAGATCACAGTCAAATGGCTTGCCAAACTTAGATAAGTACAATATGATTTGTATGTAGTGGAAATTACAATTATCACTGTTATTAGTGTTATTATTTTATTATATCAGAGGAAGAGAAATGCACATTAGCAGGGTGTTCTGACATAATCCCCCAGGCTGGATGAACCTTATTTAAATAAAAGAGGAAGGGTAACTTCATTAAGCATAACATTGGAAATTGAGGCCCTGGTCTAAATAACTTATAAGGATATGGTCAACCTAACACGCATAGTCACTGGACTTACTCATATAAATGTTATTGTGTTTGTATGCATCTGAGATCTGGCCTGCACAAAGTGCTTGAGATAGTATTGGTCCTCATTTATTAAAGTCAAGGAAAGAAGGGAGATAAACTTTTCTTAGTGCTCAGTGCAGGCAAAGGAAAAAAGGGTAACATCTGTCAGCCATGTTGTCTTTTTTTTTTTTTTTTTTTGACTACTGTTATCTATGATACTAGCAAGAAAGGCAAATTACAATACATAAGATTGGCAATTAAATCAGAAACGTTTCTGTATAGCTACGATTTACAGTAGTAACACCTCTTCTATGTAAAGTGAAATAGATTTGTTGAGTATTAAAAAAACTGAACAATGACATAGAATAAGACATTATCTTTGGAGTTCTAAAGGCACTTAAAAGCCCTAGGCAGTTTATGTTTAATTGGCTCTCCAAGGTAGAAAACAATTCTATCTAGACAAATTCCTTAACATACTATCCTTCATCCCTACCTTGGACTTACCTGTCTGAAGGAGAACTAGAGGAGAAGTAAAAGTACATTCCAGCCAGAAAAGTGGGTAGGTCAGTTGCCCACCAAGCAAATAATTCCTGAGTGTCTTGAGAATTTGGTATAAAAATCAATAGTGTATTGTGTTCTATATTATGTCCTATTTGAAGCAAATAATGCTAATTCAGTAATTGCTCTTGAGAAAAACAATTACTGAGATTGTTGCAAAGTTGAACAGCTTCAGAGAAGTTCTGCCCTTCATAAAATGATTAAT